AAATCGAATTATCAAACCGTTTTGACAGTGCTAATATTTCCACATATGTATTTAAGGGACAAATAATTTCGACGTCGACAAGAGGAGGTTAATGGTATTTTGGGGACATTTAATGAGAGATTGAATGATTAGTGAGCTTAATTTAGTGGCTAATGGGTAGTGTCCTAGTGACTATGGTCCAAAGCTTCAAAATTCTCTTTTCCTGACAATTCAGCAGTACTCTCATTACTACATAAGCCCAAAATGAACTTTGTGGCACCGTGGGCCAATATTGTAATATGGAGTAATTGTTTAAATATTGGCCCACATGGCCCAAAGTCCCTTTGTTATTTTTTGTCTTTGCAAATAGTAAGGCTTACAAATGTAAAAGAATACATATGGCCCAAGATCCAATAATCAACGGGAATAAAACTAAGTACTGGCCATGGGCACCAAGTAGGCTTCACGGGGCCTTTGTGAACCACGAGAAGCAGCTTGATGCTTTATCTTGTCGGTTTCAAAAATGTTATCAAAGGTCAACTTTGAAGGCTTTACACAATATTGGGCTATTTATGGAGATTTTGGGACCTGATGACGATAACTCACGCAGTAGTAGTGAATGCATCCTAGCGTCATACTTATAATGTTATTTGGAACCATATACGACAATTATTTAGTTGCATAAAGACTCGTTGTGACCTTGAGTTAATGAATGAAGGCATGTACTTTTTTTTTTGAAACAATGAAGGCATGTACTTAAATGTGCTAAAAACTAATAGTTTAAAGACAAAGTGAATGGTTTCTAAAACTTCCAACTATCCAAATGACCCGGGGTCAATGGGAAGCACTATAATCTCTTTCCTTTCAAGATTTAAAAATGTCGAACATTGTCCAAAAATCCATGTTTTTAGGCAAATTTCATTTTTTTCCCCCTAAAATTAAAGTGAATGCATGAGGTGTTCCTAAGATTGTATCTGTTGTAACAAGTCTACCAATTCTAGGTTTATAAAGTCCTCATAGTGAGTTTGATTCAAATGTGTAGCTATTGTTGCCTGCATTCCTGCAACAAACTATGAGATGAGTTTCTATCTCATTATGAAGCTATGTACTTTTTCCATTAAAATGAGGCTTCATTCATCCCATTATGAATGAATTGAACAATGATAAACATTCAAACAATTAAAATGAACATTAAAGCCAATACTAAACACACATATTAAAAACAACACATGCAAGATACAGAGTAAAACCTAAGGTAGATATCTCAAACTTTATAACCAAGCAAACATGCCCATACTATATATTGAAAGGGTACGTATTGTTAAGATATATATGTATATATTGTGATAAGTCAAAGTGTATAATTTATTTACCGTATTTGTAGCCTAGATTAAGGGAATTGATATCTCTTGTAATTTGTATATATTGCTATTGAATCAATGAGAATAGCCACGGAATATAATTCCTTTGTGGTATCTGCAGTCTAAGGAAATTTCCGCTGCACCCTAGTTGTTCCGCCCCTTCTTCTCTTCTTCTTTTTTCATCTTCTTCTTCTCTCTGTGCACAACAGCTATGTCGGATTCAAAGAACTCCTTTCATTCGGCCCTTGCTATTTCTAATATCAAAAATAACATTCCCATAACCCTTGAAATGGAGAATGTTCAATACTCCACTTGGGCGGAACTATTCAAAATTCACACTCGTTCTCACAAGGTTCTCAACCATATTATTGCTCCGAAGAAGAAGGTTTCCGCACCTTCCACTGACGAGGAAAAGGAACTATGGTCGACATTAGATGCAATTGTTCTCTCGTGGATTTATGCCACGATTTCTCATGACCTCTTGCATACTATTATTTAATCTGACTCAACGACAATGAAGGCTTGGAATAGGTTGCGTGATATATTCTAAGACAATCAAAACTCTCATGCCGTAAATCTTGAGCATGATTTCTCAAACATAAAAATGGAGGATTTCCCTAACATTTCGGCATACTGTTAGCGGCTTAAGAGCCTCTCCGATCAGCTGAAAAATGTAGGGGCACCGGTGGATAATAATCATCTTGTCCTTCAATTGGTCTTCGGCCTTACGGAACCATACAAGGGTGTTGCTACCTTAATTAGGCAAAGCAACCCTCCCTCAATTTTACCAAGCTCGATCAATGCTTACCTTAGAGGAGGCGGGCTTGGCAAAACAGGCGGCAACGGTTTCAATGTCATCCATGGTGGCGAGTTCTTCACGAGATGCAGAGACGGGGTTTGATGGCTCGGGGACAGCTCAAGGGAAGAATAAAAAAAAATGGTGGTCGGAAGCTGAACAACGGCGGTGGACGTGGTTTCGGCGCCGGTGATGTAATACCCCTAATAATTCTATACTCTATCTACATATATTTTATAAAGAAAAGTTTGGTTTGGTTTTACTTTCTCTCAAATTTACAAGTAAGTTATTTTTCTACTCTTGTTTTAGAGATGGTAGATTATAATACCCTAAATTTTTCTATTTTAAGTTTCGGGGACGAAACTTATTTTATGAAGGGTAGATTGTAATACCCGAATATTTTAAGATTTATCAGATACATTTTATGGATAAAATAAGATATTTTAAATTATTTTATGAATTCTTATACTCTATTTTTGTTATCCTATATATATATATACGTACATACATATATATATACATACATATATACATATATATATATACATATATATACATATATACATATACATACATATATACATATACATATATATATATATACATACATATATATATATATACATACATATATATATACATACATATATACATACATATGTATGTATATATATGTATATATATATATATATATATATATATATATATATATATATATATATATATATATATATATATATATATATATATATATATGTACCGGTGAGAACACATCCTATATGTGAGAACCAATCTCAGCCATCAAATTGTATTCAATCCAATGCACATAAAACTCCTAAAATCACACCTAACTGTCATCTCTCTCCACCTAGCTAACTAGCTTCTCTCTCCACCAAGAGCTTCATCAATGGCGCCTAATCAGTAACGCTGTTTCTCATTGCTTCAAATTGCTTCATCAATTGCTTCATCAAAGTAATCATAAGCAAGTTCACACCGACCTTGCTCGCCTTGCTCTATATTACTAATCGCGATTGCAATCGCTGCTACAAATCAAATTCGCCAGGTTATTGAATTGCATGTTAATTGGATGATAATTTTTGATTTTTTGGTTTGTTCTGTTCTTATTAATTTGCATATTTAATTGCATCAATCGCCAGGTTATGAATTGCATGTTAATTGCATGATAATTTTTTATTTTTGAGGTTTGTTCTGTTCTCATTGAATTGCTTGTTTAATTGCATCAATTATGGATTTGATTGAATTTACTTCTTTGAAATTTTTTGAATTAAATCAACAATTTAGGTTTGATTAATTTGATAGAAATTGAAAATTTGCAATCAAATTTAAAATGAGCAAATGAATATAAAATGAGCAAACCTAACTATTTGTAATAATATAAAAACATATAATGAGCAAACATAATTAAATTGAGCAAATCCAAATATTTGAGTTGCAGAAGCAATGAAAATGAAAGAAGTAGATGTAGCTAATGAGCAAATATTTAATTGCTCATTTATCAAATGAGCAAGTGGTTGTGCTTCTTAGATTGAGCACTTCTGTGTGCTATGATAATCTGAAATTACTGTGTTTGTGTGTGTGTGTGTGTGTAAGTGAGTGTAAGAGTGCATGTGTTAGAGTGTGTGTGTGTGTGTCTAAGTATGTATGGTTTTTGTAGGCAAATATGCTATACTGAATGCTATATATGCTAGGTTTTGCAAATCATAGTGAAGGGTAGAATTATCAACATTTACTCCTTTTCAAATCATCTAGTTTCTGCTATCAAAGCATTGAGTTCCTTGGTTTTCTTGCCTGCACACAAGCCCCAAACCCCTTCTTCATGGTCTGTTTCCTGCACACCAACCACACTCCCTTCTTACACTTCCTTATACAAACCTATTCCCCCCTCCCCCCTCATCTTTCTGTTTGCAATTCTGATTCTAAATCTGGTTTAAGATCTATTTTAGATTATGAAATTATTTTGTGTGTGTGTGTGTGTGTGTGAGTGTGTGAGTAAGTGTAAGAGTTATGCTGTAAGTAGTAATTAGTATGGTTAAAAACATGATTCAGCAATACATATGAGATTTTTAATGAGCTTCCTTAAACTATTTTATGGAATTGTTACTAACCTGTTATTTCTATTATATTTAATGTCAGAAATGATGAGCAACAACGAAGAACTTGACAGTCATTCTAGTACCATCACAAATGTGGCAACTACTCCTACAATAGTAGTTTCTCCTAAAGTAGCACCTTTGCTCACTCCTGGAGGAACAAAAGAATGGCTTCCAATATTCCCCAATGAGTTGAAACCAGCTATAGGGATGAAGTTTAATAATCTTGAAGAGGGCCTTGAATTTTATAAAAGATACGCATTTGCTATTGGATTCAACACAAGAAAGTATACAATTAAAAGGCAAAGAAGAAGCAAAGAATTGAAATCACAGTATATCTTATGCAATAAAGAAGGATACAAAGAGAAAAGAAAGCCTACTGTTGAAAAAGATTTAAATAACAACGAAGGAGGAAGCAATGAAGAAAAAACTTCAATCAAAAGGAAGAGACTCGTTACTCGTGTTGGGTGCAAGGCACATATTGTCATAAAGCATTGTGATGATAACAAATTCATAGTGTCACAATTTCATGAGGGACATACTCATGCACTTTATACACCTAGTTGCAATCTCTTACAAAAAGAAGGAAGAAAAATGAACATATTGCACAAAAAAATAATTGTGAATAATTCTAAGGTACGACTTTCAAAGTCTCTTATGTTTTATGAATTCTCTATATGTTCTAATAAAAGTAGTATGCTCATTTGAAAAATGAGCATTAAATTATTTGCTCATTTGACAAATTGTTTTGTTCTTTAAATAGGTGAATATTGGTCCTGTTGCAACTTTTCGAATGATGAAGGAAATTGTTGGAGGATATGATAACATCGGTGCATCTAAGCAAGATTTCAAAAAATTTCATAGAGATTTGAAAGCATACATTCAAGGAAGTGATGCTCAAATGTTCGTGGATAACTTTACCAACAAAAAGCTAATGTGGAGCGCTTTTTTCTTTGATTTTGAGATGGATGAAGATTATTGCCTTTGTAGAGCATTATGGGCTGACCCCCTTTGTAAAAAGAGTTACGCTCTTTTTGGTGATATGGTATCCTTTGATACCACATACCAAACCAATAGGTAATTCATAAAAATCACAATTCATTTTTATGTTATAACTATAGCTTAAATTAATAACTTTGTTTTAAATGAACTTAGTATAACTGTTTGCTTATTTCACAAATGAGCATTAACTTATTTGCTCATTTCAGAAATGAGCATTCAATTATTTGCTCATTTGACAAAAAAGCAAACAGTTGTTTGCTTATTTCACAAATTAGCATTGAGTTATAAGCTCATTTGACAAATGAACAATCAATTATTTGCTCATTTGTCAAATGAGCATTGAATTATTTCAGTAGCTGATGACAATTCTGATTTCATAATCTGATTTCAGATTCTATTACAGATTGTGAGTGCGTGTATGTATGTGTATGTGTGTGTGTGCGTGTGTGTGTCTGTGTCTAAGTACGTGTGTCTGTGTATTTATGTGTGTGTGTAATTATTTGATCATTTAAAATTTAATCTGTATGTGTAAACAGGTACAACATGGTGTTTACTCCATTTACAGGGGTTGACCATCATAAGAGCTGCATTACTTTTGCTGCTGGTTTCATAACAAAGGAAGATATAGTGTCATTTGAGTGGTTGTTCAGATCATTTCTCAAAGAAATGGGTGGAAATGAACCGAATTGTATGATTACAGATCAAGATCCAGCAATGAAAATTTCTGTTAAAAGTGTGTTTAACAAGACTGAACATCGGTTCTGTATGTGGCACATAATGAAAAAGTTACCAGATAAGGTGGAGAAATCAATCATGCAAGAAGAAACTGGTTTCCTAAAAAAATTATGTGCTTGTGTTTGGCATCTTGAAATTGAACCTGCTGAGTTTGAAGAAAGGTGGAACAAGGTGATGGTTGAATACCACTTGGAAGAACATGAGTGGTTAGGTTATATGTACAAGATAAGGAACAAGTGGATTCCGGCGTATTTCAGAGATGTGTTCCTTGGAGGAATAATGCGTACAACATCAAGATCCGAAAGCGAAAACAACTTTTTTAGCTCCTTTATCAATCCTCATGTGTCACTTGTTGAGTTTTACTTGAGATATGAAGCTGCAATTGATGCCCAGAGACACACTCAAGGTCAGAATGATAATGATTCAAAGCACAAATATCCTGAGTGCAAAACACCACTAGGGATAGAAAAGCATGAATTTCAATATGAGGTTGAAATTGCTTGTTTTTCTTGTGGTGTTGATGAATTGAAGAAAGAAAATGGATTGGAAGTTGCAAAAGTAAGTGAAGGAAATCGGATTAGAACATTTGATGTTGTGTTTAATCCAACTAACTATGACACCACATGTTCTTGCAAGTTGTTTTATAGACAAGGTATTCCATGTAGACATATGATTTGGGTTTGGAAAGCAAAAAGGTTTGAAACCATTCCTGAGCAGTATATGCTACACAGATGGACTACTATGGCACTAAAAAAACCAATTTTTGACTTGCGTGGAAACCTGTTGGAGCAATGTGCTAATTTAATTGACAAGAAAAAATTGTTAAATGACTTATGGTCAGAGATACACACTTGTGTAAGTTTGGCAGAAGGAAATGATGAAGATATTCAAGATCTTGTGATAAATCTTCAAGGAATAAGAAAGGATTTGGAAGCTAAGAGGATTGCAAGAAATAATGAAACAACAGGAAGTGCAAACAACAAAGCACAAGACATTGAGCTATTGATTGGAGCTAGTGTGCCAACTGAAATAATTGTCAAACCTCCAAAAATTTCAAAGAATAAAGGGACTGGAGTTCATGTATCAAATGAAGAGACTTCAAAAGAGAAAGGGGCTGGGATTGATGTGCCAAATGTTGAAACAAGAGGTAGAAGTGCAAAAAGGCTGAAGGGAGAGAAAGAAAAGGTTGTAGAACAAAACCAGAAAAAGAAGAGATTATGTAGAGGTTGTGGTGAATTGAGTTACCATGATATTAGAAATTGTCCAAAACAAGTGTAATGATAACTTTATATAAATATAAGATTTAATATTTTTGGCACATCTCCTCATTATATATTAAACATTTCAATTCAGTAGTTGATCACAATTCTGATTCTAGAAATTAATTTCAAAATCTAATTCTGAATCTAATTACAAAATCTGATTTCAGATTGTATTACAGGTTATGAGTGCGTGTAAGTATGTGCATCTATTTCTGTGTGTGTGTCTGTGTGTGTGTCTATGTGTGTGTGTCTGTGTTAGTGTGTGTGTATGTGCATCTGTCTGTGTGTGTGTGTCTGTGTGTGTATTTGTGTGTGTGTGTATATGTGTGTGTATCTGTGTGTGTGTGTCTGTGTCAGTGTGTGTGAATGCATATATGTGTGTCTGTGTGCGTGTGTATGTGTATTTATGTGTATATGTGTGTGTAAGTGTGTGTGTGTTCTTGTTTAAGGGAGGAAGGGGGTTGTAGGTGATTATGCTATTTTTCAAACAATAAAATGCAACACATAAAAACATACCATAAGAAATAATAAAGATCCTGGAAATTTGTGTTTTAAATTTTGTTAATATTCTGTTGATTTTATATTTCTTAACAGAATCAATTATTTACTCATTTGGAAAATGAACAATCAATTTTTTGCTCATTTAGCAAATGAGCAAATAGTTAGTTGCTCATTTTTCAAATGACCAAATAGTTAGTCGCTCATTTTTCAAATGAGCAAATAGTTAGTCGCTCATTTGTCAAATGAGCAAATAGTTAGTCGCTCATTTGTCAAATGAGCAAATAGTTAGTTGCTCATTTGTCAAATAAGCAAAATTTATTTTTAATCATTCATTAAATAAACAAGCATTTCTTCGCTCATTTATTAAATGAGCAAATTATTCTTTGCTCATTTGTCAAATGAGTAATTTGTTCTTTGTTTATTTTTCAAATGAGTTAATTATTCTTTGCTCATTTGTCAAATGAGCAAATTGTTCTTTGTTCATTTTTCAAATGAGCAAAAACTTAGTTGCTCATTTGTCAATTGAGCAAATAGTTAGTTGCTCATTTGTCAAATGAGCAAAGAATAATTTGCTCTACCCTTGACCAAATAATTGTTCTTTGTTTATTTGCTCAAATAAGCAAATGTTTATTTGCTCAAATAGTTCGTTGCTCATTTGTAAATCAACAAATAGTTCAAATAAACAGTAGGTATAAATGACAAAGTATTTCAGGTAAACACAAAAGTCACCATAATCAAAAGTCACCAGTTTTACATCATTCAAAAAATAACAATTTACAAGTTGATTAAATCATTGTTTCTCTACTTCCCTAAAATTAGAAAGCTATGTCAACACCTTAATCAATACTACACCAAGCAAAATATTGAGGTAACACTAACAAGTAGCCTTTTCATCTTAAGCTTTTTCTTCTTCACCCTTTTGTTCTTCAACTTTTTCTTCTTCAGTCTTAGGAGAAACTTTCTTCTGCTTTTTCTTCTTTTGAGGAATTTCTTTAACGGATTGAATTGTGTTTATTTCGCTTGAAACTATTGCCAAGGTGTACTTCACACGAAGTTTTTCCATGATTATCACCTGTAAGAAATAGGAAAGAAAAAATAAAACAAGAAAATTTTAAAAAATATAAATGTATAAAGCAGGGTGAAGCACGAAGCACGTAGCACGTAGCAGAAGAATAGAATAAGTAATAAGAAACCCAAATTCTGATTCCTTTACATTTATTTAAAAACAAAAGTAGCTTGAAATCTTGCTAAAGGTTCACTGGGTTCACTGAATTTTGGTTCAATTGCTCTACAGTTTATAGTCCAAGTTTCATCTGAGTTGGAAAAGGGAAGGTGGATGATTGGTGTGCAAGGTCACTCAGAACCATCTGCTACTTATATTGGACATAAACAGTTTATATTGGGCATAAACAGAATTCTATTAGAAGTTGTGGAAATTATGTCTTGTTTTTTTAATTATTGAAATGTTGGTGCAAAGCCTCTACTTCAAGAGAAAAAAAAAACCAGAGTAGGAAGCTGCCTTAGTGTGCTACCTTCTCTGCTATGCATAAACAGATGGAAGCTTGGAAGATTTCACTTATCAAGGATGCATAATCCACAGCCTAGAGCACTAGTTGATGCCAGTTTAAGTATGTGCATGTGTTTCTGTGTGTGTGTCTGTGTCAGTGTGTGTGTATGTGCATCTGTCTGTGTGTCTGTGTGTGTATCTATGTGTGTGTGTTTGTGTGTGTATCTGTGTGTATGTCTGTGTGTGTATCTGTGTGCGTGTGTATGTGTATTTATGTGTATATGTGTGTGTAAGTGTGTGTGTGTGTTCTTGTTTAAGGGAGGAAGGGGGTTGCAGGTGATCCTGCTATTTTTCAAACAATAAACAGAATTCAAATTAATTCAGTCAAATAATTGCTTGCTCATTTGAAATATGAGCAAATTATTGGCTGCTCATTTGACAAATGAGCAAGATTTATTTAAATTTCTATATAAGAATAATAAAAAAATATCTTGGTGGTGCATATAAACATACTAATATCCTTTTATTATCATGAATTTTCTTTATCATTCAAATTTTCACTTTACATATCCATATTCCTATAAACTCAGAGAGTATTAGAAATTAACAAGTAAAAATTGTACGCCTTGTAAAATCCAGCAAACAAGTACCTAAGGACAATTCATATAAGATGAAAGACTTACATTATTCTTCTTCAAACCTGAAGCCCACTTTGACAAACCCATGTATGTTTCCATAATCCTCATCAATGCAATTCCACAGTGCAAATGATTATTATCTGTAGACTTCCAAGGAGAATCAAGTGTAACATGCTCCATGCGCTTGATATCACTTGACAACACAGAGCTCTGTACATTTTCTTCATATTGCATAAAATTGCAAAATGCACTTCTCTGAAAATAAACATGTCAAATGAGAAAAGATAATAGATATTTATAAAATCTAATAATTTTACTGAAATAAGCAAACATAATGTTAATAGAAATTAACTTTTAAACCGTACCAAATGTTTTAAAAGCTGTGTATGATCTCCGGAATCTTCACTATAATCAATAACCTCAATATTACCATGCTCTGTGGTAGTGTTGAAACATACCAAGAAATAATGACCTGTTTCGTAAACTGGGAAGAAGAAAAGTTGAATGTCCTTCTTTTGGACAACACTTTGGCTGTATAACTTCTGAGAAACCTCACGAAACATAGTATTCCAATAACTAACAGAATCAATCTCATAATGAACAAGACACTCCTACATGTTTAAAAAATAAAATAAAATTAATACAACTGGAATACTGTAAAATACTTCAATAAAATAAAATAAATTAAAGAATATGAACTTACAGTAGCAGTAACATTAAAAAAGAAACGAGCAGGAGAACTTGAGTCTCTAAATTGCTCATTATAATTCAAAATACTACACCAAGCATTAATGATTTCTGAATCAATTTTAAGGTGACTATACAGCTTTTTAAGTTGAAATCTCATGACTTCAACATCATGCACTCCATTAACTTTGGATAAAAAGACTAGATCACTGCATAAAGGAATTAAAAAAGTTAATATCACTAAAGCAAATATGAATTAGTATACAAGATAGCAAATTTTATAATAAAAAAAAATACTTACAAACGATTTTTATCATCATCAAACAGAGCTTCCAAGATAGTTTTCTGAACTTCTGATAATGTAGTGTAAATGTTGATAATCCGTGCCTTAAAAGGTGATCTAAGCAGCATTGATGGTTGAACTTTACGCTTCTTCAAAACAGGAACATCAGCACCACCTACAGCACAAGGAACATCAGCATCGGCAGCAACTGAAGGTCGTACAGGAACATCAGCATCAGCAGCTACTAAAGGTTGTACAATAGTTGGGGAGTTCTCCGGATCATCAAATCCTAAACTGAAAGTAGGAGTTCCAAATCCTTTTTTAACTGAAGATCTCAAACCAGATCGAATACTTGAACCTCCTACAACTTTTTCAGTTTCAACTACAATAGCAGGACCTTCATTTTCAGAAAGACTATTTGCTATCTGAACACTTTCAGCCGCAATCTTTGTAACATCAATGGCTCCTGTTACGATTGGACAATCAGCCCTAGCAAAGACTGAGGATTCAACATTCTTCTCATTAGCAAAAATCTTGGAAAATCTATCCCAAGCTTCAATGACGGCTGGATCTTGCCAATACTCATCGTCTTGGCTAAAATAAAAGCTATGATTTTCTGGCATAGCTTGAGAACTCAATCTTTGCTCGTCACAAATACCCATTGCATCTTCCTTCAGCTTTTGTATTTTCTGATTGTGAGGAAAATGCTTCACAGCTAGTTCATGTTTTTCATGAAAGTCCATGTATGCCAACACCATCTTAGTCGAAGACGCTGCAAGATCCATTAAGCATTTCTAGAAAAAAAAAACATAAATAAATAAGATAAATATAAAACAAAAGACTAAATAACAAATCAATGGTAAAATATTTGCTCATTTGTCAAATAAGCAATTAATTTTTTGCTCATTTGTCAAATGAGCACTAAGGTTTTTGCTCATTTGACAAATGAGCAAAAAATTACATGCTCATTTGACAAATGAGCAAATATTTTTTTGCTGATTTCTCTACTCCATTGATGCGCCATAATAGAGTGCCACCTTGCATCATTATTCAACTGTTGCTGATACTCCACAACCCAATTTTGTCAACCAAACTTCACAGAATAGAATTCAGAACATTGAGTTAGAATGGATGTCATTAAACAACAAAATAAATTAATATTAGATCTACATTAAAAATCATATAAATACCTTCTTTGGATCTACTTCAACATCTTCGTTAGTTTGTGGAACAGTTGGAACATATGTTTCCTGAATGCAAAAAAAAAAAAAAAAAAAAAAAGTCAGAATAAGTTGGGATCGTTTGCAATGAAATCTAACAAGATTTGGTCCAATTCAATTAATTCTAAAAGGAAAAAAAGCTAAGTATTGATTGAAAGTGAAATACCATTTTTGGTTGTTTGCTGCCAGAAGGACCAACAACCTTTAGATTTTTATCGAAAATTTCAAGCCTCCCCTTAAAAATTTCCAGTTTCTCACGGCTAGACAACATATTCGTTGTCCAACCTTTGAGAACAGGAGTTTCTCGTTTCGCTCTAACTTCCTCAATGACAAAATGATCAACATATAAAAGCTATAAACAAGTACGATAGAAAAGATTAGTAAATTAAAATTAAACAAATAAATAACAGTTAATGCATAAAAAATAAAAAAAATAAAACTTAGAAAATACCAGAACCAGCCCTTACTGAAACCTACCCACACATTTCAATTCTGATTTCAGATTTCATTATAGGTTGTGAGTGCATGTATGTATGTGCATCTGTCTGTGTGTGTGTGTGTCTGTGTGTGTGTCTGTGTGTGTGTGTCTGTGTCAGTGTGTGTGTGCATATATGTGTGTCTGTGTGCGTGTGTATGTGTATTTATGTGTATGTGTGTGTGTAAGTGTGTGTGTGTGTTCTTGTTTAATGGAGGAAGGGGGTTGCAGGTGATCCTGCTATTTTTCAAACAATAAAATGCAACACATAAAAACATACCATAAGAAATAATAAAGATCCTGGAAAGTAGCAAGTAGGAAGCTCATCCCATTTGATCTTCGCCTTCACAAGAGAATCAAGGATAAAATTCGACCAATTTAAATCCTTGATTTTAGCAACATTACTCAAATATCTGAGAACGTCATGATTAACATTCTTGTTTTGTCCTCCTAACATAAAATAACAAAATTTAAAAAATATGATCAAACAAAAACTAAAATGAGCAAAATGAAACTAAAATGAGCAAAATGAAATTAAAATAAGAAATATGAAAATTAAAAAACTACCTGACATTAAAGTGGAAACACAAAGAACTACGAAATTGCGTTTGAACATTGGCCCAGCTGATTTATGGTTCTTCAAGTACATTGAAAGTTCCCCAATGTTCACAGATAATGAGTTCTTTGGGAACTGTTTTTTCCACTGGTTAATAACTTTATCATCCTTTGAAAAAAGATTAGCATCCATCTCCATGCCTCCAGCTGGCAGCCCTAGGACATCATGTACATGTTGTTCCGTAATTTTGAAAGGATCGGAATCAGGAATATTCAACGTACAACTATGAGCATCAAAGTGCTTGACTAACCAAAAACCCAATTGCAAAGGCAGTTGGGACACTTTCAAAAACTCCAAAGACCCAAATCCTATAGCTCTAATGGAAGTCAACTGATCTTCAGAAAACTCCTTAAAAACATTAACAACAGATGAAGGTGACATCCTATTACGCAACGTCCCATAAACAACAGATTTTGATTTCTGCACTTCATCAACAACATCTTCACTGTCTGGATCCTCAAACTTCACATTATGCTTTTCTTTCACTCTTTTTTCAACCTTTTTTGCTTTACCCTTTGTAGCAACTACTTTGATTTTCTTTTTCTTCTTTTCACTGATCTTCTCCTTTGCCACTAGAGCCCCTGATGAACCAGCCTCGGCAACAGCCCCTGATGAACCAGCCTCGGCAGCAGCCCCTGATGAACCTGCCTCGGCAGCAACCCCTGGTGAACCAGCCTCGGCAGCAGCCCCTGATGAACCAGCCTCGGCAGCAACCCCTGGTGAACCAGCCTCGTCAGCAGCCCCTGATGAACCGGCATCGACAGTAGCCGCCCCTGATGAACCGGAATTCGCACCAGACTCCTTTTCAATAGAATTCCTGCTGATACAATATCATAAAAAAAAAGTCAAATATCACATAGATTTAACGAATAAGGAAAAACATAGATGCTCATTTGTTAAATGAACAAATAGTTAGTTGCTCATTTGTGAAATGAGCAAACATTAGTTTGCTCATTTGTCAAATGAGCAAATAATTTGTTACTTATTTCTAAAATAAGCAAAATAGATAGTTGCTCATTTGTCAAATGAGCAAATACTTAGTTGCTAATTTAACAAATGAGCAAATAGTTAGTTGCTCATTTGTCAAATGAGCAAATATTTAGTTGCTAATTTTACACAAATGAGCAAAAACATAGATGTTCATTTGTGAAATGAGCAAACGCATAGATGTTCATTTATGAAATGAGCAAATAGTTAGTTGCTCATTTGTGAAATGAGCAAACATTAGTTTGCTCATTTGGGAAATGAGCAATCAGTTTTTTGCTCATTTGGGAAATGAGCAAACAGTTTTTTGCTCATTTAGAAAATAAGCATATAGTTATTTGCTCATATGTCAAATTAGCAAGCATTTCTTTAATAATTCATTAAATCAACAAGCATTTAATAAGAAAACATAAAATAAGGAAATAACAAAACACGTACATTATCCTTTCCAAATGTACATCTGTATAATCTTTAGCATTGTTAATATCAGTAGCAACTGAAGAATCCATAGCACCGTTACAAAAAAACCAAAAAAAAAATGTAAGGTAACTTAATCTACAATGTTGCATCTATAAACAGAAGCCAACAACTAATAAACAGAAGATGGACAAGAGCCTGGTTGTTTCAACTTAGGAATGCAAGCTAGTTTCTGTTTGTTTCCTTATTGGTTTTCTGTTTTTTCTGGTTGTATTTTGTCTGTGGTATTTTTTTCTGTTTTGATGCAGAGGCTTATGCCATGGTCACTAGTGACTCAAACACACAGTTCAGCAGAACGAAGGATATAAGGCCATATGACTGAGTCATTGCCGATTTGCTCCTTTATGCTATTCCAGGGTACCACATACTTCAAAAAGAAAAAACCTAACTCACTGAAAACTGAGTTTTACTTGTTGTAGTACGAGTATTATCCAACATGACTTTGTCAATCAACTTTATAATAATCATAATAATAATAATACTTCTATATACCTTGGTGTATTATTTATTGTTATTATATGAAATGGGATATAAAGATATACTAGTAATAATTTAACAGAAATTAAGACGACTTTTGACCAATAATTTTATACAATCATTAATTTTAGTGGTGAAATATTTATTTATTAAAGAAAAATATATGTGAGGCTATCAACAAAAAAAGAACTATGCTTGGAATGGTCAAAAGATAATAATGTAGGCAACGGATAGTTGAAATGATGCCATTGTTCTCTGTAGTTGGTGGCTGACTAGCTTGCTTTCGCTTATACTCCTGATAAAATAATTCACTCTTTCTTTGATTCAATGCTTCAATCATCTCTATTTTATTTTACATACAGCTAAAGAACAGCTACCAAATCAGACAAATATTGCCAATGAGATCTAGAGTTCTTTGGCACTACGGAAACCATAATTTCAGCTATTATATAAAAAAAAATTGGAGCTACTTGAGCTGTCAAATGAATTGACCAAAAAAATTTTGGTTGATTCGTAGTTATCTGCTGGTTTGTCGATAGTTCTAGCTTATAAGCCAAACGCTAACATCAAATAGGTTCAGGTCAGGTTTTGCAAACTCAGTTCTTCTACATACTGTTCAAGTCAAGAGCTCATGCAAAAAGAACGTGGTACATCAAACACAAATGTAGCAGCAACAAGCAAGTTTCGTAAACTGAGTTCTCCATAATACCGTTCTGGTCCAGAAATTTTGCACAAAGAACAGAACGGTGGTACTTCAAACACAAATGTAGCAATAGCAGGCAAGGATGAAAATTCAGCAACCAAACCAAAAGAAAAGGAAATTTAGCAGTTTGGGGAACTGGTTCAGAGTTCAGCTATTTTGAATCAAATCCCAAAAGAATAAATAACCATTAACTTATAAATTTACACACATGTTGCTAGAATGTCATTCCAAACTTTGTTTTCTATTGCCATACTAACAACTCGTATATATCCATCTATAAACTCTAATCAATTTAGATTTATGATAAGGCATGCTTAGGAAGTGCTCTCTATGATCTTTAAGACCTTCTTTTGTACTTCAAGTGTAGCAGTAGTTAAGGACCCTAACTAAAGCATTAAGCATACATAGTCCTGCCATTGACAAAAACAGTTATATACAACATCCACTATAGATTTTAATAGCCTATAGCCCCATAAATCCAAGCCCTGACATTATAAAAAAACAAAGCACATTTAACATACATACAAGTTTCGATCCGAAAGCAATTATAACATACTCTAAGCACCTGTATACAACAACAAGGTTTCCTAACAACAAAGCAAAAATTAAGAGTAGACAAATCCAACACATACACAAGCTCTTAATAACAGAGTAACAACCAAAGAACCATGACATAGAAACGAGGAAGCTAGGAAATTGAGATATCATAATTTTAATCTTTAAATTTACTTTAAAACATAATTGATTTACTTTAAAAAGTCTATATCATTATATACCTTCCATTTCATCGTGTAAAAAAACTCTTTTCCCCAAATCATTCATCTTTCATTCACAGCTAAATCTTTAGCTTCCTTAAGGCCCAAATAAGTAAAACTCTCATATTAGATTGAACTCACGTAAGATTTCTGACTTTCCCACCTTTGTACTTCATGGACCATAGAAATGAGGGAGAGAATAAAGTGGAAGGTTAATGCTAGTACTACAGCCTCCCAACCTCTGTCATCATAATGTGGTGGTTTTTTTTTTTGGATTAACTCTCAAATAATGCTTCAAATGGCTGAGGTTTCCTTTCGAGCTATTAGAAAATCTATGTTATGATACAGAGTTTCCACTGCTCATCGAGTAGCAATTTAAAACCTCAACACCGGCCAAATCTGAAGTGCTGAACTACATACAGGCTAAAGGCACGCAAATGCAGTGCAGTTTATCTGATTTTGAAATGATATAAACAAATAATCTAGAAAATTCAAACTTGTTCCCCAAAAAATTAGTCTTTTGCACACTACATAGGATCATGCACAAAACAACTATATCCAAAAAAATAGTAGAATAAATCCAAGCATTCTAAACAAACCTCCGCTCATAATTATTGAACAAGAGTTGAGGAGTAACATAGATTATAACCTTGGATGTAGAAAATGGAAAGGATGTGGCTGACATAGTAATTAAGGTAGATTATTATGTGGCTATGTGCCCTAATAGTGGGTCTGACTAACATCCAGCATGGTATATAGGAATCACTGAAGAAGAATGAAAACAAATCACCATTGTGAAACAACATACGACAGGTTATAGAACAAATATTATATAAGCTACAAAACAAACAAACAAATAGATCATCAATCATTAAAATCTGAAGGAAATATTAAAGTATAAACAAGTAATAAGAATCCTTTGAAGAAATGAAAGTTTTAGGTTGTCCCAGCATTTTACTCTAATTTCAGGTTATTGTTTACAAACCAGGTGAAGGATTAGTTTAATTGAGTGTCATCAATCATAGCAGTCATAAAATTGAGTGTCTCCACGGTCTGACTCCCCCCCCCCCCTTCCCTCCAAACAACCGCTTAATGTTTGCACGAAGCTCTTGTTAAGTTTCTACAAAACAATAGAGCAACAAAAATCGCAACAAAACCACAACATAATTTCTCAAATACACAACCAAAGCAAGAAGAATTGTAAAAACCTAAATTCAGACAAAATAAAACTAAAAATAACTTGATAATTACTCAAAAAAACGAAAAAAAAAACTAAAATCAACAAAAAAAAAACAAACTAAGAGATAATCGACACAAAGTAACCTAAAATTAATGAGCTAAAATCAGAACAAATTAAACGAAAAGGAAAACGAAAATCAAGCAAAAATCGCAACAAAATCAAAGCAAGGACACTTAGTAAAACCTAAATTCAGCCAAATAAAACTAAAATTAACTTGATAATTACTCAAGAAAACGAAAATAAAACTATAATCAACAAAAAACGATAATCAAAACAAATTAAACGAAAATCAAAACGAAAATAAACAATGAATGTAACATAAAATTAATTGAAAAACAGCAAATGTATAAACAATAGACTCACATTAACGAAGAATTGATGAAGATTGAAGAACTTGTGATGAAAAATCAAAGAGAAACAGAGTAGAAAACCGTAATATTGAAGGAGGAGAGAGAAAATTGAGCGAAAGGAAGAAGGAGGAGAGAGAAAAAACGCAGGAAATGAATTTGAAATAAATGAGCTTTGTTTTACCGGGTTGTATTATGACCGTTGGATGAAATTGATCCAACGGTTGTAATATGTCCTCACATATAATAGGGTTCTCACATAAGGGGGGTGGTCTCATATGATCCTATTTCTATATATATATATATATATATATATATATATATATATGGCCATATGGGCAGTCGTGTCTTTGCTTTCATGGGTTTTTATTGATATTGTTGGCGCCTGAAAATCAATTCACCAAACACTTCCACCCTTTTAATTAGTGGTATACAATTATCACTATATATGAGATCAAATTTTGGATCTTTGCTAATTAATTTGGAGCACTATGCGTGATGTCTTGGATCGCTACCCACAATTCACAAGTCCGGCAACCCTTTGTTTTAGTTTTTTAGACGAACGGTAATCACACTATATCAATCTTTTGATAATATAATTTGATTGTATTGTTTATTATGCGTAATCACACGAAACTTATTTTGGAGTTGTTTGTATTATATTTCGCATTATCGTGAATTTTATGATTTATTATTTGTAATCTTGTACATATATATGACAAATTATTATGGTATTATGATTTGATTGGTTTTGAATATCGTATTATCTTTGTTGTATTGATTGATCGTGTTATTATTATTTCTAGGGTTTTTAATGTTGTAGCTACGGGGAGTATTGTTTTATTAAGGTTTTAGGGTTATTAATGCAGAGTATTATTTTTGGGTTGTGAGTTAATTATATTTGGGTATTAGTTCTATTGCCCTATAAGAGTTGAGATATACTATGATTGAATCGAGTTCAAATTGTTATATTATTTGGGAACATGTGCCATTATTGAGATATTATTTATTAGCCTATGAATGATTATTTGATCAAGGTATGAGATCAAAGTGTTGATAATTATTATTCTATTTTTGGTTTGAGGCTCAGCATTATAGGCCTTAATCCTTGGCATGTTGGTAAGGAGATGATAATCATAAGTTAAGAATGAGGTACACTCTTTATTTATATTTTTCTATGGTCCCCTATAGTGAGATTTGACCCGTATGTTGGTCTGGTTCAAGGCGTTTTTCTGGTTATTGAGAGTATTCAAGTTTTTATAGTTGTTGGTTTATTATTCGAATTACTCATGTCCAAGGCTAGGTATAAAACAAAGAGCGTGGCACACTTATGGGATAGATGAGATAATTGAGTAAAGGTTCGTGTTATTATTGGAGGTTGAGTTGAAAAAGGTTATTTTAAGAGTACAAGTGTAATGTAGTTTTGAACTACATTGTTTAATTGACCTAGTAATGTTGATTATTCTATTATACTCTGTATTCTGATATGTGATGATTACTCAGCTTTTTGCTGACGTGTGTGTGTTGTTTTGTTGTGCTACTTGTGTTTGCGGCCATGTCTTTTTCTTATGGTGGCCCTGTGACGATCTATTTTGGAATTTGTCCTTAATGGTGAGCAGTCAAGTCTAAACAGGTTGATCAAGTGATCGTAGCTAAAGGAGTTCAAGTGTTTCGATTAGTATTTTATAACGAGTTTGTAAAGCTATATAAATAGCTCACTTAGATTTATTGAGTTCGTTGTAATTATTGAGATTTTGTAAGCCTTAGCACTTGACAAGTTGTTGAGTGTGGCGGTGATACCTCCGATTTAGGTGTATGCTTTCGCAATTTTATTTAAAGGTTGTTTACTTTTTTTTATTTCTTATTTTTTATTAGTTAGTCAATCGGGGGTGTTACAAGTGGTGGGCAGAATTCCGGCGGTGCTGGTCGTGGTGCTCCCGGACAGCAGCAACAACAATGGTGGGCCCCTCCTTGGGGTTGGGTACCTCAATGGGCGGCTCCCCCTTGCCCATACCCAACCCAAGGTTGGGCTCGTCCACAAGGCCCAATGAAGCAGCAGTCTGGTATTCTTGGTCCACGACCCCAACAAGCATACGCAGCTTCTCAACAGTCCATGTCCTATGCTCCAACGGACATTGAATCGGCTATACACACTATGACATTGAGCCAACCCGATCCCTCGTGGTGGATGGACACTAGTTCCACTTCTCACATGACATCCTCCAACGGTAATCTCTCGTCTTATTTTAATTTAATCAATCCTCATAATGGTATTGTTGTTGGTAATGGTCATATAATTCCTATTCGTGGTTATAGTCATACTACTTGCCTTCTCCTAACCCACCTTTGTTCCTTTCTAATGTCCTCCATGCCCCCAAACTCATTAAGAATCTGATTTCTGTTCGAAAGTTTACAACTGATAATTCCGTGTCTGTTGAGTTTGACTCTTATGGTTCTTCTGTGAAGGATTATCGGACGGGGATGCCAATAATGAGATATGATAGTCAAGGAGATCTTTACCCACTCACTTCCACTATCTCACATTCTTCTCCATCAACCTTTACATCTTTAGCGTCATCCTTTTGGCATGATCGTTTGGGACATCCGGGTTCTTCTATTTTAAATGCTCTTTGTAGTAATAAAAGCATTGAATGTAATCAAACTTTTAGTTCTAGCGTTTGTCATTCTTGTGTACTCGAAAAACACATTAAGTTGCCTTTTATTTCTTCCAATTCTACTACTTCTATGCCGTTTGATCGATATTGTTCATAGTGATCTTTGGTCATCTCCTATTTTGAGTTCATCGGGTCATCGTTATTATATGCTTGTATTGGATGATTATTCTAAGTTTTTGTGGACTTTTCCTATAGCCAAAAAGTCGGATGTTTTTGATAGAATCATAGCTTTCCAAGCATTTATTCGTACCCAATTTGAACGGCCTATTAAAGCTTTTCAATGTGATAATGGGAGAGAGTATGATAACGAACCTTTTTGGGTTTTGTGTGAGTCTAATGACATGTCTTTCTGTCTTTCATGTCCACATATGTCATCACAAAATGGAAAGGTTGAGAAAAATTAGACCATTGAATAATATTATTCGCACTCTTCTTGCTCATGCATCTTTACCTCCATCTTTTTTGCACCATGCTTTGCAAATGACAACTTATCTTCATAATATTCTTCCAAGTAAATTGTTAGATTATAAGTCTCCTCTCCAAGTTCCTTACCAAAAGGAACCATCTTACTCTCACTTACGTGTCTTTGGATACTTGTGTTACCCCTTATTTCCATCCACTACCATTAACAAGCTACAACCTCTAAAATTTGGATCTAAAATTACAAGAAACAACATGCGTTTATTCCAATTTTGTCTCTGCTCTATATTCTAAACAATTGAAGTCAAACCTTACTTATATTATCAGCTGCTCATAAATTAATAATAATACAGTACGTTCTTACATTATATGGTACCATGTTGCTCCAACCTGTACACTCCGTGCATCATGCCGATGCCCCCATAATTTTGTTGCCACTCTTCATTATTAATTTATTATTTATTATTACAAGAAATTTCCGAACGTCATCATACATAATTACGAGCCATTTTGTAATGTTCTTAATATATTCAATTCTATTTTATGCAAACGAAAGTTGATTATTGAGTAAGAATGCCAAATGAGTACAATCTATCCATATGATTTTCACTTTTTATTAAATTTAATTAAATTTTTATTAACTTATAGTAAGAATTAAAAAAATTTAGTTGTAAGTTGAACGAACCTAATTATCTTTTATTAACTTCGCTCTATCAAAGCTTAAATGATCTTGATATTGTCTTATATGAACTTAAACAAATAATTAATCTATACATACATAATCTTAGCTAAAAGTAAGCTTCTTTTTTTTTTTTTTTTTTTTTTTTTTAATAAATGAAAATAAAATGAATAAAACACATCTTCAATTCGCCTATACCAAAATACTCGTAACATATACTCCGTACTTCGTTTCTCCGGATTGATTGGCATAATCTTTCATAAATTTCTTAAGTTTAAAGAAAGACAAAGTATTTATTTCCCCTGAACAATAGCTAACTCTCACAAATTTGTCGGCTGCGCCCTTCGCGTAAGCCCATCACCATGCACATACAACTCAAGTAACTTCCTCCCTTCTCACCCCCACTCTCTCTCTCCTCCACCCCACGTGCCCGGCACTCTCCTCGAACTCTCATTGACTAATCATGTACCAACACGTGTCTTTCGATCGCCATCTCATAAATCTAACTCCTAGGATTATAAATTTGCCTCAACTCCCAAACGTCCTTTTCATTCAATCCAAATATCCAATCACAAAAATTCTAGGATTCATCTCATGCAACGGTCGTGCCACTAAGCAATACAACACTCTCAAATTTATCGCATACAACGGTTGCACCAGTAGATAATACTACCCTCTCAAATTTATCGCATACAACGGTTGCACCAGTAGATAATACTACCCTCTCAAATTTATCGCATACATCGATTGTGCCACTAAGCAATACAAACCTCTCAAATGATATATAACTCGAATGAGTCTACTCGCCGGACATTGTATTTTCCGGCAGTGAAACCATGCGAATCAATTTCCCAAACTACCCTTGTCAACTCTTTACTTTCTCTATCCAAAAAAATCTCCAACTATAAACCTCCTCATTTTACCTTCACCTCCAACAAGCGAAATGTCAAGAAGGCCCTTCGCTTGATCCAAGTTCTTCAGCTTTTCTTACAAGGGGTAAGAGATGCTGGAGGTTTTGATATGATGGGCAATTTAGTCAATTCGCCTCTTTTAGACCTCCACGTGGCTCTTCAGAAGCTTGAGTTTGTGTTGCAAGACTGCACGCGCCAAGACGCGCGTGTGTGGATGCTCATGAAGTCAAACTCTGTGGGGCGGCACTTTCGGGTTGTTTTCGAGGCAGTGGCTGCTTCCTTGGATGATCTCCCCTTGGACGTTGTTGGTGCTTGTGATGATGAGGTGAAGGAGTTGGGGTTGTTTTTGATCCAGAAAGTTAAGCAGGCCCATTTTGAGGCCCAAAGAGAGGATGTTTGGGCTTCGAATCTGGTAAAATCGGCTTTGTACCGGTTTGAGGGTCGGGTCATACCCGACCCGAGTGAGTTTAGGTGGGTTTTGGATTACTTGGGAATCAAGAAGTGGGCAGAGTGTAATGACCAAGTCAAGTTTCTTGAAGAGGAAATCGGATTTGGGTCGGGGCCCGCTGCTAGGTTGATGGGTCTCATGGTGTATTGCCGTTGTGTGTTCTTTTATCACATTGATGGTGATGCTAGAAGAGTTGAGGATGCAAAATTTGACTACAATATAGGTTGCTTGAACCCGGATGATCTCAAGTGCCCAATATCACTAGAGATCATGGAGGATCCGGTGACGATCTCAACGGGTCAAACTTATGATAGAGTCAACATTGTGAAGTGGTTCAAAGCAAGCAACCCGGTTTGCCCGAAAACGGGTCAAAGGGTTCAAAACTTAGATTTGGTGCCTAACTTGGCTCTTAAGGAGATCATCAAGAAATATTGTTTAGAAAATGGGGAAACTTTCCCCATTCCTAAAGATAAGGGTGCTAGCAAGAAGAGTAGCGAAAGTGACATGGCGGTTTTAGCTATCGAGGAAGCTACTAAAATGGTGGCTGATTTTTTGTCACTTAAGCTAGCAATGGGAACAATAGGAGAGAAAAGTAAGGCAGCCTATGAGATTAGACTACTTACTAAAAGGAGTGTATTCAATAGGGCTTGCTTCATGGAATCTGGGGCAATTTCATACTTGTTGAATCTTCTATTATCTAAAGATTCAACTGCCCAAGAGAATTCCATGGGAGCCTTGTTGAATCTCTCTAAGCACCCTGAAATCAAGCCCGTCATTGTTAACAATGGGGGCTTGATTTTGGTCGTTAGGGTGCTTAAGAATGGGATTAAGATGGAGGCAAGGCAACACGCCGCTGCCACCTTGTTTTATCTATCCTCAGTAGAAGAATACCGAGGATTGATTGGAAACAACCCGGATGCAATTCCTTCTTTAGCGGAATTGATCCGGATTGGTGGTGATCAAGGCAGGAAAAATGCCTTAGTCTCCATCTTTAGTCTCCTAATGCTCCCTAGCAACCATAACAAGGTGCTCGAGGCTAAACTTGTCCCTCTTCTCGTGAGCCTCGTAGGCTCTATGGAAATTAGCGATAATCTTATAGTTGATTTCTTGGCAGTGCTTACATCTTTGGCTGAAAAGCCCCATGGAGCTAGGGCAATATTTCGCGCTAAGGCCTTAGATGTTGTCATAAGGTTAATGTGCTCACCTTATTCCGATTCTTCCAGACTTGGAAAGGAGAATTGTGTATCACTGTTGCTTGCAATGTGTATAAATTGTGGAAGAGAAGTGGTCGAAATTTTAGTGATGAACACGTCTCTAATGGGAGCTTTGTACTCCCTTTACGCCGGGGGAACTTCAAGGGTTAGCAAGAAGATCAGCTCGCTCATCAGCATTCTACACGAGTTCTCAGAAAGAAGCACAACTCGCTCCATGCCTCGTGCTTTATCACACGAAAATTTTATTCATGTGTGGTAAACTAAGAGCCTGATGCATACAGATTCTTCATTTTAATTTGTAGATATATACATACCATTTGATGATATTGTAAATCATATGTTAAGAGATTAGCTCAAATTTTTGAGAGCTAATCCCAGTGTATGAGTTTCCATCTTTTTCGTGAAGCTCATTTTATAGTTTCCATAGCATACATACACATTTATCAGCAATTGATGTAATGTAAATTGTAATTGTTTTGACTACATTTATATACAAGTGAAAGTCTTTTCTAACTACATAACTCTTGGTGTAAAAATCTTGGTTTTACTATGCTAGTACTTTTTTTGTAATGTCCAAACAAAGTGTAATTTGAAGTATTAGCTAGATACGTACAATTAATTTCAGAAAGTGAAGGTATACAACTATATATACATTTACTCTGCATCATAACAAACATTAATTATGTGCATAAAATTACACAAAAAGGAGCTCTTGCTACCTTTAATTTTGAATGTCGTAGTACTTGTTTATCATATAACCCAAAACCAAGAAAAAATTGAGCCAATAGCTAAGCCAAGAATCAAAAACACCACAACCAAAATCCCAGCTGTTTCAGAATGTTGAAGCTGTACCATTTTGGGAGTCAAAATCATGAGCACGCTCGCAAAGTATCCAGTAGTAAACCCCAACAACGATGTCAAGCTTATAACAGGAATTTCAGTTCGGAAGAATTGAGGACCATGTAAACATCCTAAGTACAGTGGATAAAACAACAGTCGCGTGAAACTTGCACCCAAAGCAATGTTCGCATTCTTAAGAAGATAGACAGCAGTCAAAGACTTGCCAATCAAATCGAAAACATTGTAACAAGTAATTAACAGAATCGCATACCAATCCCCAAGAGCTGTCGAATGCACATCTTCAGTAACAGACCCTGGGAAAATTGACAGGGCAACAATATATACGAGGGTGATCCCAAAACCATACCATCTGATTTTCTGTATGGTTTCCCAAATGGAAGCAGACAAAGGCAATTCCTCCTGAATGAGTTCCGGCTCATTTCGAAGCTTGCTGTTGTGGTGTTTGATAACAGGAAGTCGACTTACCACATTGAATAAGATAAAACATATAACCATGAATAAAATTGCGACGATGAAGTAAAGGATGGCACTGTTTCTTAACCCATCGTTGCTGCCTTGAGGATATACAGCTTTGGTAAAGATTCTCATCAACGAAACAAGGACACCTACGGTCAATAAAACATACATATAATACGTTACAACTCTAGCTTGTACCGTAACCACATTTAAAGAAAACCATAAAATTAGCTAGAGAGCATATATTCTTTCCATCCCACATAATAAAAGGCTATCTTTAGTTGGGAAAAAAATGTTTTTATTTTAAGGAAAGCTTAATATTCCCATTTTAGTCCAATTTTTAGATTGAATTAAATTAGAAATTTCCCATGGTTAACATTTTCCTTTTGTAAAGACAAAATGCTACTGATAGAGATGGTACGAGCATAACATTTTCAAGGCCCTACTGATAGAGATGGTATGATCATAACATCATATAATTTATGCCATAAATGCATAATTTATAGTAGTTAGCAGTTAAATTAATAACCAGAAAAATAAAAAGATCAGCAGTCAACTAATTCTGAATCACAAAATATTTGATGACTGAAAGCGCCAATACCTGAGGCAGAAGTACCAGAAACAACAGCCTGCATGTATCGCTCCGGCAACTCAGCAGCAGAACCAATGATACTACCTTGGACAAGCGCATTGGCGACACCAGAGAGGCCCACAACTCCAATAGTCACATAAAATCCATCATAGAGTCCACTTTGTCCCCTAATGTAAAACCAATCCATCAGAGGCACCACAAGGAGGGCTATTAAGAAGAGGCCCAAGCCGATGTTGATACGAACATAGGCATGGAACTTGCGGAAGCAGAATACGATGAGGAGGAGACAGAGAAGAGACACAGACTGGTAAACTACAGCAAAGATTCGATCAATGCTACGATCAGGGTAGAGGTAGTTGAAGTAGTCTACAGCTGTGATGAAGGCGTTCCAAGGGAGTAGCATACCTGTTCCTAGTATGAGGTAAATTATATAGGCTAAATTGAAGGAGTCATGATTGGTTATGACATCGTCGCCATTGTTTGTAGGTGTGGTGTGGTGAAGAAGAGAGACAGTGGCTTCTTCTTTGGCTTCCATTTTTTCAATTAGCTGTGAGTTTTTGAGTCACAAATAAATGTGTGTTAAGATATTTAAAGGACTAACTTATGGAATGTGTGTTGCATGTGACATCTAATTTTTTGTTTTTGTTTTTTTTTTTTTAAAGTAGGTAAGAGGAAGACCCTATCGGACTTAAACCTCTCACAGGTCTACCGAGTCTAAGTTAGCGAGCAAGGCTCTTTGAAATTGCGGTAGGAAATCTATCTATATAAAAAAAGAGTATCAGTATGTATTATTCAGCTACATAAAGTGTTTTGGTAGTATTTCTAAGGTTATGGATAAGTCTCACATAAATTTCTCTAGTTGATAAATTATAACAAAATGCCCCACTATTAAGTAATGTACGGAGTATTGTCTAAGATTCACTTGTAGTATCTTATATAGTTATATATATATAGTCACTATCTCTAGCATATAAACAAAAATTAACAAAAAGAGTTAAGTCATTACCGTATCCCACTTCCTGGGCTGTATTAGTGGTAAAGGTGAGAAGCTCGGAGCGCTATATTCTGATCCATAAGGTGTTTACGAGGGAGTCACTGAGTGCAGTGTTGAACCTTGTGAGCCATGGCACTCGCATTAGCTGCTGAGGACAGCTTGTCAGTGTGCTCAAGTCATCAAAATGTAACAAATCATCCATGCCAGCTACAATGTTAAAGGCCAAACACTCCAGAACTCGCGATTAGCTTTCTAGAATGGATGTTCTGAAATCCTGTCATGGTGAAATATGCAATTCTAGTTAATGAACTAACAGCTAAATTCAATGCAAAATGCATAAGGAGTACAAAATCTTACTAGAGTGTGGCTGTTTCACTCCCAAGACGTATTTGTAATAAGTAGTTCAGCACGAACTGTTCCTAACAAAGTCGAAATTCTATCACATGGTGTTGGCCAGTTCATTATATAGTTGTTGTAAATTATAATCCATATAGAAGGAAAAACAATCAAAAGATATCTAAGACATTTGAAATTACAACTCTAATAACGAGACTTTTAAACCGAAGGTTTACTAACATGTAATAAAACATATCTCACAGAAATTTTACAAATTACTCGCAATTCTTTCATCCTGCGTTTCTCATCAGAAATCAGGCATGATATCAAACTTACAGAGAAAATGTACTACAATTGGCTGTACCAAATTCAGGGCAAGGCTTCACAACTTTTCAGTTCAGATGACCCAAAACCAAGACACAACTGAGCCAACTGCCAAGCCAACTATTAAGAACAGAGCAATCAAAATCCCCGCTGTTTCTGCATTCCGAAGTTGGACTGATTTGGGAACCAAAATCATAATGCAACTTGTAAAATAACCGTTGGTTAACCCCAACAGACAAGTCAGCAGTGTCACAGGAATCTCTGTTCGGAAGACTTGAGGACCATATAAGCACCCCAGATACAGCGGATAAAACAGCAACCTAGCAAAACATGCAGCAATTGCAACATTGCCATTTTGTACAGGATATACAGCAGTAAAAGACTTGCCGACTAAATCAAACACATTGAAGCTGGTGATGAGGAGAATGCCAAACCAATTTCCAAGTAACTCAGAATGCACGTCTTCAGTAATGAATCCTGGAAATATAGATAGGGTGACAACATACATGACGACAATCCCAATTCCATACCATTTGATTTTCACCATTATTTCCCAAACTGGACCAGATAGAGAACCTTCCTGACCAGGTTTCTCCTCGCTTGCAGCAGCCTGTGCTCTGAGCTCATTGTAGTACTTGATAACAGGAAGTCTATGCACCATGTTATACATGATGATACAGATGATCATAAGGATGATTCCAACGGCAAAGTACAGGATTGCACTACTCCTCAAGCCGTGGGTATCTTGTGGGTAAATGGCTTTAGTAAAGATCCTTAGAGATGAAACAAGTACACCTAAAGAGAGATATGCAAATTTATACCAAGTAAAGTCAAATGATACCCGTTTCCAATTTAAACCTTAAAAGCACATGCCATCACCAACTTGAAATAGAACCAAAACTGAGCAACAAAAATAAAGAAACCAAATTTACCTGAGGCGCCAGTACCACAAAAAAGAGCCTGCATATAGTGGTCTGGCAACTCTCCAGCAGACCCAATAAGGCTAGCTTGGACAAAGCCATTAGCCATGGCGGAGAGGCCAACGGCCCCAACAGTGATATAATACCCAATATACAGCCCACTTTGACCCATAATATAGAAAACATCCATAAGAGGAACCACCAAGAGGGCCAACAAGAAAAGTCCCAAGCCCAAATTGACGCGGACATAGGCATGGGACTTACGGAAGCAGAAGATGAGGAGGAGGACAGTGAAGAACATCACCAGCTGAGAAACTACAGAAAAGGTTCGGTCAACACTACAGTCAGGATATAGATACTGGAAGTAATCGACAGCCGTGATGAAAGCGTTCCATGGAAGAAGGTAACCTATACCTAGGATGAAGTAGATAATGTATGCCAAGTTAAAAGAGTCTTTTGGGATCTTGTTGATGATGTTTGAGTCTCCAGAGAGATGGAGAAGAGATACTGTAGCTTCATTGCCTGCCATTTTTTTGACAATATACAAGAAAACACCATGTACTTAAGAGATGGAGCAGATCTGCAGTTACTACATTGAGAAGAATGGATCAAAATAAAAACAGAAAAATAGAATAACGTTTACTTAAGACCAAGTTAAAAGAGTCTTTCGGGATCTTGTTGATGATGTTTGAGTCTCCGGAGAGATGGAGAAGAGATACTGTAGCTTCATTGCCTGCCGTTTTTTTGACAATATACAAGAAAACACCATGTACTTAAGAGATGGAGCAGATCTGCAGTTACTACATTGAGAAGAATGGATCAAAATAAAAACAGAAAAATAGAATAACGTTTACTTAAGATTTGGTCATAGAAAATATGCATATTTTTTAATGGACTAATTTAGAAACTAGTGATGCAAGGAGGTGACGGCAAAGAATTATCTTTAAATATTTAAATGAACCAATTATTGGAGGTTTGGACTCCTTTGGAGGGGCAATTACAAGAAAGCTAAAAATTTGGTCCTTCAATTACGGAGTATAGATTATGCTAATGTATAAAAAATTATATATTGTAATTCATGGGAAATTTTTTCATATGAGCTCAACACCGTGAGAGGGGGTTACCTTCTAGGAACAGATTACCTTCTCCCATGGAACGCCTTCATGGCTTCATCACGTCAGTCGATTACTTTCAGAATCACTTGGTGTAGTATCATCTGACAAAAGCTGAGACTTGGAATAACATACTGTCAAGAATAGGGAAAAGGAGATTTGAACCTTGTCACTTTGATCTTTATAATTAGAATATCAGCAGGTTAATGAGTTTTAATCTGAGATGTGCAGCAGGTTATCGAAAACGAAAACCAGAACAAATTGCTATCAGATCAAACCATCCAAAACCAAGGCACTGTTTAACCAGTGGGAAAACGAACTAATTAGAAAGCCATAATCAAAATACCTGCAGTTTCATATAGATGTTGGATGGTTTCAGTAGTCAAAACCAAGCACAGATGAGTACAAATACAATAGCTATTCAATTCAGCACCATCACATGAATCTCAAGAGCTATTTGAGTTGGCACTTACTTTGTCCAGACCGTTTACAGTAATAGAGCCAAACATGCACTTAAGGTGACAACCTTGGATCACCTTTTAGGCATAGCAGCATAGGACAGAGTACATGCACTTACTTTGTCCAGACCGTTTACAGTAATAGAGCCAAACATGCACTTAAGGTGACAACCTTGGATCACCTTTTAGGCATAGCAGCATAGGACAGAGTATGTGCGTTTTTTTTTTTTTTTTTGGTTTACAATCATCTCTTATGGAGCTAGATACATTAAATACTTCATATTTAATTTGGCCAAGTGAACCAATTCATAACAAGAAAAGATGAAGGTTCTAGTTCTACTATACTAACCACAAAAGGGATAAACAGTGAGGACGGGCACATATACAAGAATATAATTTTCATAATATGCAGAACTGAATGAAAGTTACACTTTTAAGAATGTAAGGAAACATATCTTACAGAGCTTTACAATTTGAACAATTACATCCCTGAGTTACCCCATCATGATGAGATCAGGCATGAAATAAGCTAGGATCATTCGCCCCTCTCCATTTCCAACTACACAAGGGTTGACGATGGATCTCTAAATTATAATTTAAGCTGAGACATACCAGCAGATTACACAGCGTCAGGTAAAACAAAATGCTACTGGATCAGATGACCCAAAACCAAGACACAATTGAGCCAGAAGCCAAGCCAACTATTAAGAACAGCACGACCAAAGTCCCTGCTGTTTCTGAGTGTTGAAGTTGGACAGTTTTGGGAGCCAAAATCATCAGAACACTAGTAAGATAGCCATTTGTCAGTCCCAACAGACACGTCAGCACTGTAACAGGAATCTCAGTTCTAAAAAACTGAGGACCATGCAAGCATCCCAAAAAGAGAGGATAAAACAGCAACCGAGCAAAACAGGCACCAATGGCAGCATTTGCATTTTCAAGGAGATAGAAGGAAGTAATCGCCTTGCCCACTAAATCAAAAACATTGTAGGCAGTGATGAGGAGAATTGGGTACCAATCCCCAAGAAGTGTTGAATGAACATCTTCAGTAATGAAGCCTGGAAATATGGATAGAGTCACAACATATATGACTATAATTCCAATTCCATGCCATTTGATTCTTCCCATAATTTCCCAAACAGGACCAGATAAAGAATCCTTCTCTTTGTTTGCCTCATTTACAGCCTGCAACTTAAGCTCATTGTAGTATTTGATCACTGGAAGTCTATGTGCCACATTATAAAAGACGACACAGATGATCATAAGTACAATCCCAAAAATGAAGTATAAGATTGCACTGTCCCTCAAACCATCGATATCTTGTGGATATACTGCTTTGGTAAAGATTCTAATAAAAGAAACAAGGACACCTGCAGTTAATAAGGAAATGCAACTTAGTTCAGCAATCATTCAGAAAAGAGAGCACAGGTGAATCTAATATGAGCATAGACTTCCACTAAAATGCCCATTTTTTGGAAAGCATGCAATGTATTAAGTTGATTTATGTCTTAAAATCTGATTAAGTAGTCCAGCACTGGGGAACTTTTGTCACCATCAAAAGACGAATGCTAAATCCTAGTTGCAACTCATGCCGATGCTATTTCTAAAGGGATTCTACAGAATTCAAGCTTAGCTTTCCTAATTAATTACTTAAATCCATCGATGTAGCTTGTCAGCAATGTGCCTTGCGGCTATGCCTCCCCTTCCCATTTCTTAAGAACTAATAAACCATCAAATCACCCACAGTTGATCCAATTTTGCTCGCTTGTGACTTGAACATATTAGAGATATGAGCCAATGCACAAACAATGCTTATAGCCTATTGAGCCAAAATATATTTTACAAATAAAATTAAATATTTTTAGTTTTGTACCATTAAAAGAACATGAATACATGATATCAACATGCTGAACATACATTTTAGGCCTAACGACAAACAACTTAATAACTTTATAACCATCTAAAGCAACATCTAGAGATCACCAGCATTTCAATTGATCATTTGCTTTACACTGCGGAAACCATTGATCCTTTTAAACAAAATCAGCTAAATTCCAAGATAGAGACATTGAGCATAGGAACAAAATTCAGCACCAGCATTTCTAAACCCCATCTATCCGCTTCTTCCAAACTAAAGCTTCCAATTACTTCGACAACATAAATCCAATCAAATTCCAGGTGCCAACCCTAAAATGGCAATAAGTATCATACTAAACTAGCAGACAAATTTCTCAACAAAACAATCCACACAGCTGAAAATCCACATAAAATCTACCCCTAGAAAGGTAAGTAAATTAACCTATTTCCAATCTCATCCCTCAAAACATCACAAGTCAATCAAACTCAATTCATTTCCAATTTCATCTCTCAAAACTTATACCCAATTCCAATGTCATCCTTCAAACTTAGAAACATTTACAATTTCATCCATCAAAGTCAAACCTAATACAAATCATCAATATATTGAGACTCTACTCCTAACCAAAAAGTTCTCAATTCTCAGCAAATCCACCAAGAAAATGATCAAAATTAACCACATTAAACAAAAAAGAAGTAATTCATGAAACAAACAAAATCCCATTTCCAAATTCATCCCTAAATCATCAAAATACCCAAAAAAATTAAAACTTTTAGCACCCCAAAAAACATAAAAGTCAATAAACACAAACCTGAAGCAGCAGTTCCAGCAACAACAGCCTGCATATATCTCTCCGGCAACTCACCGGCGGACCCAATAAGCCCACCTTGGACCAAAGCATCAGCCAAGCCCGATAGGCCCAAAGCACCAACAGTCACATAAAACCCATCATAAAGCCCACTTCGGCCCTTAATATAGAACACATCCATTAATGGCACCACAAACAGGGCCACAACAAAGAGGCCCAAGCCCATATTGATCCGAACAAATGCATCGGATTTCTTGAGAGAGAAGATGATGACTAGGAGAGAGAAAAGTCCTGTAAGCATGTAAGCAACGGCGAAGATGCGGTCAACGCTCTGATCAGGGTAAAGGTAGTCAAAGTAATCGACGGCTGTGATGAAGGCATTCCATGGGAGTAAAAACCCAGCTCCGAGAGTGAAGTAGATGATGTATGCGAAGTGAAAGGAGTCTTTTGGGATGTTTTTGGGGGCTTCTTCGCCGGAGTTGGGGTGGTGGAGGAGAGAGATTGCAGCGTCGTCGACGGCGGTGTTTACGGCGACTCCCATTGTTTGGTGCGGAAGAGAGAGATGATGATTGGTGGGTTGATTGCTTGTTAAGTTGTTATTGGGGAGAAGAAATTAAGGAGAAGATTTGGAGTTACGTAGTGCGTAGTCTTTTGTTGGTGGGGAGAAAGATAGTGGGGTCGGCAATTGGATTTCGAATTCGACTTGGGTGTACAATTCTCATAGTCCGTCCACTTGCTGAAAACTGCATCATCTATTTGCAATTATCTCTCGTTTTCGTATTAATCACAACACTTTCCTTTTACATACGTTTTATATTAATTGCAACACTTTTATACTTGAAAATGATATACCATTATTTTATAATTTCTCTCCCACTAATCTCACTTTTACAAATATTTTATTATTTCTCTTTTCTACTAACCTCACTTACACTACTTTTTTATCATTTCTTTCTCATACTAACAATACTTTATATTATAAAAAATCCTCTTTTAAGCCCCACCTTATGAATTTTCTTAAACTTTGTGAAACCCTAGTGTTGCGATTAATACGAAACGGAGGGAATAAGTCTTAGCAGCACCCTTTTGCAGCTAAGATAGCTAAACCATGCCCTATAAAATGAACATTTAGTAAAAAAAATATAAACACGTAAAAAAATGAACATTCAATAATAAAAAAAAATGAACATTTAGTACTAAAAAGCAAACATGTTAAAAAAAATGGTCATTTAGTATATTAAAAATGAACATGATTATCATATAATCATAAAATTGATGGACCACGACCTTAAAAATGAACATTTAGTTGAAAAAAAAAATTGTGAACACGTTAAAAAAAACAATTAGTAATAAAAAAAATGAACATTTAGTAATAAAAAGGAGCACGTCAAAAAAAAAATTGACCATTTATCATACAATAATAGAATAGATGGACCATACCTAATAAAATGAACATTTCATAAAAATATATGAACACTAAATAAAATGAACATTTAGTATTAAAAAAAATACGAAAAAAAAAATGAACACTACAAAAAAAAATTATGACATTTAGTAAATTCAAATGAAGATGATTTTCATACATTCATATAAGCTCAAATTAATTATTAATAATTATTAACGAAAAATAAAGATAAAATAAATCGTTAAAATATGTTCATTTTTATGTACTAAATGTTCATTTTTAGTGTACTAAATGTTCATTTTGAACAAAATGTTCTAATTTAAAATACTGCGTGTTCATTTTTATTTTATTTTTTACAAAAATTATACACAAGTTCGATTGTAATTATTTTAACTTTAAAAATTTGAATATCCACCTTAAATCTAATCTTGATTCATCATAAAGATAATAATTATCAATCTATAACATGGTAGATTAGGAATCACAAATGAAAAATTGATAGAAATCAACAATTTTATAACATTTACATAAAAAATAAATATAAAAATAAAAAAAAAAAACTCAAATTTACCTCAAGATTCTCAATCGTGACGAAGATGATGACGATGGAGAATGCTACAATGGTGACAAATTGGAAAATATCTGAAGTAGAAGGACAAAGAAGTGTAAAGATTAAAGGAAAGCAAAGTAAGAAAGAAAATTAACTTATAAGGAAAGGAAAAAAAGAGGAGAGAGAAAATGTCGAATAGAGAAGAAAATAGAGGAGATAGAAAATTAATAGAGGTAAGAAAGAAGAAGAGAAGGAGTTAATATAAAAAGAAGGGGGAAAAATGTATGTTCATTTTTTAAGTGTTATATGTTCATATATATAGTTGTTGTATCTAGCTTAGCTGCACTAGTGTGTAGCTAAGAATTTGTGCATCTATTTGTACTCGTAATTACCAAGCAAAGCTGGTGGAGTTGGTGGGGAATTCACCTTGTGAATTTGAGGTCACGAGTTCGAGCCCCACCAACTACATTTGCTTGAGAGTAGTGGGATTTCCTTACCTCCCCCCTTCACTCTCAAGCGCTGAGTTGCAGAGCTGGGCTAGCTTAATCTGTGAGAGGTGCTGGTTCAGTAGGGTTCTTCATCTTACCTTTAAAAAAAATCATCTATTCGAAATTAGGTGATGAGATAGGTAAAAATCAGATAAATAGATTATACGTTGCCATTTGGACTTCACCATTACTAACACTGTCATTTTTAGTGGCAAATTCATCAAATTTAAACGAAAACCCTAAAACAAAGGAAGAAATAAAGGACATGGTTAAACATTAAGGGTAAGTGAGACTCCTTCCTCCACTTATTATTTCGTTGGTTCTCTATTTACTTTATTTTACGGATGTTCATGAGAGGTGTATACTCCGGCATTATTAAAATCACTGATTGAAGGAGGAGAGATAAAATAAGGTGAAAATTAGATCCACCAATAAAATTGAAGCTTGAAGGTTTTTTTTTTTTTTTTTAAGCCAAGCGGGGAATCAATATTATTTCAAAGATCAAACTCTGCCAAAGTCATAAGACTTTGGAGGAAAAAGTTCATACAAATACGTTCCGCATCAAAATTAGTTTCCCACCTAGACACTGAGTGTGCCACAACATTTCTGTTGAGTCCCTTAGGTTTTGATTGATAGTTTTGAATGATGACAAACAGCTATGGGAAACAGGTTTTAATAAGTGTTGAAAACAGTTGGTGGGAACCAGCTAACATAGAACACTGTTTCCCCAGACAAGTTATTACTTACATGAGTTTTCTTATTGAACTAACTTGTCTTTATACAGGGAACAGTTATATGATAAAAGTGTTATGTACTGGTAGGGAACCAGTATGTACTGTTTCCATGGTTGCTACGTGGTAAAGCAGTCACATACTCTTTATTGTGCATTAACCATGTTACATGTGCAGTAGTTGAGTTGATTCCAAGACTTGGAGCATAGAAGCCTTTCGAAGATATTTCGAAGAAAGATTGTTTGCTCATAATAGAAGTATTCAAGGAAGATTCAAGTCTTGAAGATTACATGAAGAAAAGACGATTTATGCTTTAATATGTTATCTAGGTTTTCATGTAATATGCTCCGTAGTATGCTTGCATGTTTGGGTTATATAAGTGCTTAAAAGTATATTGAAGTATGATATGAAATCTGGTACAAAGTTGGAACAGGTTTCATAACATGTTTCAATTCAGGGAACCAGGTCGGGGAACCAGGTTCACTGTATTCGAGCTGCCGTTTTGGAAAAAGATTTTACAAAAAGATTTTTTCGAAAAGATTATTTTGAAAAATATTTTGTGCAGCTGGAAATAAGATGAAATATTCTTGGTTACCTAAAAACTAGGAGTATTTATCTTAATTGATTCTATCTTTGTGATTAAATCAAATAAGATAAAAACTTTCCTAAAATTACATTATATCTTATTCTCTAAGATTGTGTGATTTAAGGAAACTAGGTTTTAGGAATCTAAGCTTATATAAACTCATCTTATTTCACATATTTCGTGTGCCTCTCCAGAAATTAAAGGAGCAATTATTTGAGAGCATATACTTAAGCACTAATCCCATTCATCAAGTCATACACAAGAGCATTCTAGTACTTAAACTTTTTCTCTTAATTAGCTTCGTAGAAGTGAGATCAAAGGGGAGTTCTTGATTCTTGTATTGAGTCTTTAACAAAGGGGTTAAAGGCTGGGTGAGTGTTTGTGAGTTCAAACACATTGGGCTTACGAGTGTAAGTCGAGAGCACACTCGGAGTAGAGTGTGGGGTTTGCTGGTTCCCGGAGTAGGGAACAGCAGAGTGTTCTTTGTCTTTGTTTTTCGGAGTAGATTAATAAAGAACTTAGGATAGGAGGACGTAGGCCTGAGTTGGCTGAACCTCGTTAAATTTGTTGTGTTCTTTATTGCTTTGTTTTATTTCGTTAAATTTGTTGTCTTCTTTATTGCTTATTTATATTCCGCTGCGTACGGGAACCAGCACAACTGGTTCCTCACACATAATCCGAAAAGAAGCAAAATTAGCCAACGATTACTTAACACTCAATTCACCCCCCCCCCTTCTTGAGTGCCCATTGAACCTTCAATTGGTATCAGAGCCTAAGCTTCTCGAAAGAGTAACATCTAGAGGAGTTAAGAATGAGTACTCAAGAATTAAGTGCAATCGGTTATGACAACAAGTCACCCAAGTTTAATGGAAATAATTATGCTTGGTGGAAGAACAGGATCCAGAATGTTATCATGGGTATTGATTATGAATGCTGGCTCGTAGTTAAAAATGGTCCTAATATCATTCTCAAGACAGATGTTGAGGGGAACCAGGTTCCCAAGAAGGATAGCGAATTGGTCATTGCTGATTACAAGTTGCTGGAAAAGAATGCTAAGGCAATGTCAATACTACAACAAGCAATAGGTGAGACCGAAACAAATCGTATCTCTGGCTGTAGTAGTGCTAAGGAGATATGGGACACCCTTGAACTTGCGTTTGAGGGAACCAGCGAGGTAAAACGGTCTAAAATTGATTTAATCATGTCTAAATATGAATTGTTTGCCATGAATAAAAATGAAAAAATCAATGACTGCTTTCGTAGGTTTATGACTATTGTAAATGATCTTAGATCTCTTGGTAAAAATTTATCTGACGAGGATCTTGTGAGAAAATTATTGCGTAGTTTAACAGATGCATGGACAGCCAAGGTAACAGCAGTATATGAAGCAAAGGATCTGTCTACCTTGTCTCTGGAACAGCTGATTGGTTCCCTTATGACTCATGAGATGCTGATTGACTCTAAGTCTGAGAAGGAACCAGCAAGAGGCATGGCGCTTAAGGGAACAGTAGAAGATGATGAAGATGAAATTAGCATGATTGCAAAAAGATTTGAGAGATCTCTTCGAGATCAAAGAAAGAATTTCAAAGGTAAGCATTTTAAAAACTATAAAAAATCTAACTCTAATTCTTCTTCTACAGGATGTTTCAAGTGTGGAGAAAAAGGACATCTTATTCGAGATTGTCCTAAGTGGAATGACAAACAGTCTAAATCCGGAGATAAACAAGCATACAAGAATGCCATGATAGCTTCCATGTGGGGAGACTCTGACTCAGGGTCAGATGAAGAAGAAGGATCACCCAACTCAGATGTTTGCCTAACTGCCTTTACAAACATCAAGGAAAACAGCACTGGTCCAGGAACCAGAGGGGGAACCAGTACATTCAACAAATGCTTTATGGCAAAGAAGGATGTACTACATGAACGCAA